TGCTGGATAGGAGCCACTGGTTATTATCAAACACTTGCCACACTCCAGATTTCCCCACAAAGAGGAAACAAAAGGTCAGACTCTTCCTGGACCAGAGGGAGATGAGGATATGAGGGTAGCGGGTTCTATTTAAAAACGAGTTCCTGTCATTTGAGCATAATCACAGGACAGAAAGTACCAGGGTTTAGGTCACTGTTTAAGACAAAGTCCTGGACTGGCTTTTCTGCCAGCAATGTTTAAGTTCCAGATTTCTAGTTAAGATGCTCACAATGCTGACCAGTTGAGAAAATGATATTAGACTCCATTTAGGCCACATTTGGCCTAATGGTGTTCAGATGACCTGGAAGAAATCCCAAATGAGTGGGGAACTTTTGAGATAACCTGGATTGTAGAGTACCAGAAACTTCTCATGAAGACTTCTTAGGTGTCAGTCCCAGAGGCTCTGGGAAGCGGGAAACACCTTTAACCTGAAGTCAGGTCAGTGCACACCTGTCCCACACCTCACCAGGCACTGTGACACTGGGATGTCATGAGATAAGTGAAGATGTGGAAGCTTTCTCAGTGTTGTTCCTGCTGACTTTTGAGGGCTAGATAATTGTTTGTCATGTGAAGCTGTGAGCAGCATCCCCAGCCTCTACCCTCTAGACTCCAGTGGCAATCTCTGAACCCATCCCAGTGGAGACAATCAAAAATGTATTAGGTATTGCCAGATGTCTTCTTGTAGACAAAATCACCCTCTATTGAGAACCATGACTCTAGGATCACCAATTGCCGAGTTTGCCTGGAACTGATATGCTGACACATGGGAATTGCAGTACTAAATCCAGGAAAGTCCCAGGTAAGCCAGGACAAGTTGGCCACCTGACCAGGTCACTGGTATGTAAGAAACCAAGGCCAGACACATGGCTCCATGACTGTAATCCTAGCTACTCAGGAGGCATAGATCGGGAGGATCTTGATTCGAGGCTAGCCTGCGCAAAAAGTTCACAAGACCCTACCTCAACCAGTGGCTGGGTGTGGTGCTTTCATACCTGTCATCTCAGCAACATGGAGAAGCATGTTGGATCGCAGTCCAGGCTGGCCTGGGCGTAAAGTGAGACCTTATCTCAAAATAAACAGAGTGAAAAGGACTGGCAGTGGCTCAAGCATTAGAGCACTTGCCTATCAAACACAGGGCCTGAGTTCAACTCCCAGTACCACAAAAAAAGAAAAAAGAAACCGAAGACTTTGAGGTCTTCTTTGAGAGATGTTGACACAGGCATGTGGGTGAGTGTGACACAGGTGTGGTGTCACCCACATGTTGTTTTCAGATTCCAGAAGCTTTGGCATTGAAGCATCTTAAGGTGTGAACCTTGGCAAGCTGGATCTTTGTGATCCATCCAGGGTTGATCCTAGCCCATGAGTAACCTGAGGACTTGATTAAACTCTTCTTTCAGGAAGAGAAGTCTTATTTAACACCTGGTAGTGCGTTTGAGTGACAGACTTTTTCTTAGAATTGTGGGCTGCGTGACAGTATACATCAAGCAAGTGACAGAAACACTGGGGACTAATTCCATTTTCTTTTGCAGGTTCTAATAAATCATGGCTGTAGGGAAAAATAATTTTTACCCTCAGACAAAAATGATTCAAATAATGATGTGTTCTGAAGAAATTGGGGGCTGAAAGAAGGTCTGTTAGTGGGCTTAAAAATACTTAAATAGCATTTTGTTAGTCAGCTTTCCATTACTATAACAAAACCCTTGTGATAACGAACTTGGGTAGAGAAAAAGGTTTACGTGGGCTCACGGTGTTAGAAATTGCAGTCTTTGGTGGGGAGGACCCATTGCTTTTAGACATCTGGTGGAGGTGCCAAGCGGCATGGGTGGGGATCACACTCTGCAGAACAAACTGCTCACCTCATGGCCAAAAGAGGAAGAGGAGAGGGCCAGGGTCCCCCAGTCCACTTTGAAAGGCTAGTCCCAAATGACCTGACTTCCTGTCATCTCCAAAAGGCCCTACCACCTCCCAGTAACACCATCCAAGGGACAGCGCCTTTGATACTTGAGCCTTTGGGGGCCATTTAAACATCCAAACCATGCAAATGTATCGTGGCACTTATAAATATCTCCTTCACTTGGTCCAGTAAATTACTTACACCAAAAAGGTCTCTTTCCCAGACTGAAACAAGAAGTCACAGAAAATTGTAGCAGCCATCTTGGCTAAGTGATTGTTTTTTAGAGCATCTCATTGAGGAAAGGTAACTGATTAGAGTGCTCCTATCCTGCGGGAGCTGGTAGATGAAACAGCAAAAATAAAGATTCTGGAGCCCTGATCATTTATAAATAGGAGAAGTCTCACCCTGAATGGAAACTTTCCAGTGGTTTGCTTTTTCATCTTTCTTCCAGAAAGTGATTGTTACTTAGGAGTGTGGTTCTGTCCAGGAGGCTTTTAAAAGGCTATAGGGGAGGCCACTATGGTAGGGGACCAGGAAATAGTGAAGAGGTCTGGTAGAGATAAACTAGTGTGTGTTGCAGTACACAAGTGCATGGAAGCAATGCTGGGAATCTCTCTGTATAGCCATCTTTATCTCAAACTAGCAAAAATGCTGTCTTTCTTATTATCTTTTAAGTTTTCTCTTCAACAAAATCAGAAAAGAAGAGTGTGGAATAGGTTCTGCCTAGAAGCTGGGGGTTGGGGGGGTGGAAGGGTTGTGGGGGAGGTGGCACAAACAACGTATACACAGGTTAAGTAAATGTACAAAGGATAAAATGAAAGGAGAGAAAAAAAAAGGCTATAGGCAATGAATCATGGAGAGATGAGAGGATGGGGTCCCCAAGTGTTACACAAGAGAATCCTGGTGGATTTGAGGAGGCATGTGTGCAGTGTCCTCACAAGAGGACAGTGGAGAGTATGTCCCGAGGCTGTAGAGAGATGTGAGCACTTTGTCTAGGTTGAATAATGCCTTGCTTAATTTGGGAAGTGGTCTCCAATCCTGCCTCAATCCATTAAAATTACCCAAAAATACTTGCCAGTGGCTAAAATCCACCTGTCCCTTAACTGTCCATTGGCACATGCTGTGGGGTGTGAGCACAAACAGGGAGGACCCCAGGGGATGTTTGGCTCGTGACCATCTCCTGCAAACAAGCCAGTGGGATTTTCCCACTTGACGTCAGGGGCTGATGGACTCAGTCATCTGCAAAAGCTACAGAAAGCCCTGTCGGGGAGCAGCCGTCCTTTGAGAAGTGTCACTGTAAGGCAAATGCACTGCTATGGCGGAGATGATTGTGGGGGAGGACATCAGCCTTAGAGCAGCAGTCAGAAGTCTTATGAGAATTTTAACACTTCTCAGTTTCTCCTTTCTCCTCAAAGCCCACCTGAGAGCAGCAGCCTTCGATTGGCACTCACCCAAGCTTGGGGGGAGCTTTGATCACCATTTGTTCTGACCCTAATAAACACCCCAGAGCTTTGGGTTAGGCCAGGTCTGGTATTGACAGTACATCCTGTCTTTTCAAAAGCTGGGGCTGGGTCCCCTCAGGAATAAGAGAGACAATTTGAGAAGAAACACCATATTCTACTGGCCTTGCCTGTCATTTGTATTCCACATCCAAGAGGGGTTTGGGATTTGGAACTCTGTTAGCTCCAGGTCTTCCCTTTCTTTGTAATTTCAGCTTGAAATTCAGATCTGCTGCTGCTGTTCTTCACCGTGAACATGCAGCCCGAAGGAGCCCAGAATCCACACCATCTCCCTACCAGACATGAGTGTCCCAAACCCAGCTGTAGGTACCACAGTAGCAAAGAAATGGTGGCCTCTGGAAAAAAAACAAAACAAAAACCCTGGTTATAGTGTTGGGGGAAATAAAATCACGCAGATAAATTTTAATGAATAATTTGTAATATTATGAGTGATATTTAAGGAATTCTTTGGGCCTGCACTGTGCTGTAGGGTTCATCTCTGAAGGAAAACAAAACTTAATTGATATTTGGTTTACAAAAGACCTGGGGACCTGTTTTGTTCTCCACAAATGGTTGTCCAGGGCTTTGCTCCACAGGAATGGCGCTGTCATTGGATTAGTTTCCTAAGGCTGACACAAAAAAATGGCTGCAAGCCAGGTAACTTAAAACAACCCAAATTTATCCTCTCACAGTTGTGGAGGTCATAAGTCCAAAATCAAGGTGTTGGATCCTTTTAGAGGCTCCAGGAGGGAATCTTTTCTGTGCCCCTCTCCTAGCTTCTGGTCTGTCTTCCACAGTCTTTGGCACTTCTTGGCTTGTTACTGTGTCATATCAATTTCTGCCACCATCTTCATGTGACCTTCTCCTCCATGTGTCTGAGTTCCAAATTCCCTTCTCTTTTCTCTTGTGAGGATGCCAGTCACTGGAGATAATGCTCCATCCTAAATCCAGAATGGTTTCATCTTGAGATCTTTACATCTCCAAAGGCCTTATTTTCAAACAAAACCATATCCACAGGTACTAGAGGTTAAGACATGGGCAAACCATTTTGAGGGAAGCAAGCCAACTCACTTTAGTCATCAAGGAGCTATGCGTTGTTCCTGCTCACATCTCCAAGAGTCTCCATGGCTCTTGTCTGTTTTCAAGGACCACTTACTCGTAAGCCTGGGTTGTTAGGCTGAACCCTGTCTCTAATATTTGCCTCTGTCTATACCCTACTTGGGTCAAGACATCCCTTTTTTCCATTTCCTTATACTACTCCTAGGAGACAAAGACTAAGTTTGCTGAACTTTCTAAATATGGCCCCTCCCAGGCCTCAAATTTTCATGTCCTTGAAGATCCAATCAATGAAGACAGGCCCTAGGAGCCTCCTTCCCCCAAACCAGCCTTCTGTCTTTATGCATTTTGAGAACTCAGGAAATGATTAATATGGTAAAGACCAGGGAGGAGGAGAAGGGATGGATGTGAGAGAAAATGCCTCAGAATTCCTCTTTTCTCTCTAGCAATTTAACCCAAAAAAAGATGAACAGTCTCTAATTGCTTTTTCTTCTTTTTTTCTTTCCTTTTAGCAAACTGCCTAGTTGGGCTAGAGCTGTTGTCCCCAAAATCTTTTATGTGACTGAAAAGGCTTGGAACTATTATCCCTACACAATTACAGGTGAGTCTTCAGTACAGCCAGTATGCCACTTGCTGTAGCAGTGGCAGAAATTAGCACCGATGACACACGCAGGGCCCTGTGGGCTCTTATGGGGAAGGACGATAAAGATCTTTTTTAGTGGTATTTCTGGAGGCTTTATCATCCTTATTTCCCCTGTGATTTGTCTACAAACAAGATGTTTGTTCTCCAGCCTCCCTACTCCTCTAAATGATTATAATTTGTATAAAAGTTTCTGCCGAGAATCCCTGCCCCCACCCCCAGCCCTGTGTCCCCAGCAACTTCCTTTTCTCTTGGAGAATGTGAAAGGCTTTAGATTACTTTCCCACTAATGCAGTGATATTAAACTCTCTGTACTGAATCACAGTGCTAGAAACCGTGACCTTAAAATTTAGGTTTGGTTCCTACCCTCAAAAACACTGAAGGATCCCACTTCAACTCATAACAAGCTCTTCAGATGGCTGATAAAAGCTGCTCTTCCACTTAAAAGATTTCCTTTGTGGTTAATGAAATGCCTACTGGAATTATTAGTCTTTAATTCTGCTCTTACAGTGCCAAAACTTGGGTTTTTAATTAGCCATAAACCTATAGGCTAATTGACTTGTTTTATTGTCCTTATCTGGCCAACCACAGACATGTCACGTGAAAGAGTTTCAGAGCTAACATGGAGACATTTAGTATTTCTGAAAATCTAATTTTTGGAAGGTTTCTTTACCACATTTTTAGTAATAGTAACTCATCAGGTTTGTTAGTTGTGTGGTTTTATGTTATGCGTGAGTGGACACTAAATCGTCATTCTTTTTTTCTTTCCCCTCTTCTCCAACTGAACATCTGGAATCAGAATATACAGTAAGTTTCATTTAATTTTTTAAATAATCTGTTTGTGATTGATGGAATAATTAGAATATTCTTTGTACTTGTCTTACCCACGTAATAATTTCTTAAAAGAAGAATAATTCTGAATCAGAAATATTTCAGTGTAGGCTATTACATAGTTATATATGATGTAATAATTTGAATGTTTTCATTTGTTCAAGAATATTAATGATAATTCAATGTACCTCGATAGTCACTTTACATAATTAACTCCTACTTGTAATTTTTAAAATCGCTTGACGACTTCATTGGTGATAGTTCACTGTAACAGAAGAACGGTTTCTAGCTAATGTTATTAAAGAGAGATGGTATTTATTGGTAGAAGGCGGGGCTTGTGTGTTGGAGAGCCTCAAAACTGGAAAGCCACGTGCAGACAATTATGCTTAGGGCACTGGAGTGGATGGCCTCTGTGCCTTGATAAAATAAAATAATTTCTTCCTGTCCTAAGAGACAGACTCTATAATATTATTATTGTGTTATTTTCATTTGGATCATTTCCCCCTGTGGCACACAGGTCGAGTATCATAATAAGAAAACGATTAACTGGGCTGTGATAAAGAGTTGGGGTTTTTATTTCAATCAAAACAGTCAAAAGAAAGAGAGAAATGAGGGGAAATGACTGATCACATCCTTTGTGTGAGTATAGCACCTGCCACAGAGTACATACGCAGGAGATAGTCATGGAATGGCAGAATGAATGCAAGAATGATAGCCAGGTAGACAGACATACACACATAGGTACAGCTAATGTGGGCTTTGGGATCAGAGAGACCTATATATGTCCTCTGGCTCTGCCATTTATAGCTGGAGTTTGTCAGCAAGGGGTCCCCAGTTGCTGTTCTTGGACTCATTCTGGCCCATGACTGTGATCTCACCTGTCCTTTGGGAATGAAAAAAATAGGAATATCATTCCAAGGTTTTCATAAAATTAAGTTTATTTCACCTCAAGGACTGTTGGCAATTATATATTATATCCCCTTATATTTGTGTATTAAATATCTTCTCTTCTATAAAATGATAGGAATTTATATAGCAGTTTTAGCCAAATGTCCCATTGGGAAAAAAAAATAAACAACAACAACAGCAATTCTATGGCAAGATAGAAATTTCAGGTTTTATTTTCTTACAGCGTGGAGGATCTTGCATGCTAGGCAAGATCTCTACCACTGAGCTACATCTCCAGCCCAAATTTTAAGTTTTAGAAGTCAGAGAACCACTGCTGTAGAACACAAAGTTTACCTTTTTCGCCCCTGTTTACCTCTTTTTCTAAATTGGGAGAAGTCCCTCCTTCCTAGTACTAGGAGCAGAAGGATTCAATAATCTGATGCAGGGAAAACATTTTCTGTAGAGGGTCATATTGTGAATATTTTTGCCTTTATGTGTCCTACAGTTTCTGTCATTGCCAGAACAGCCATGGACAATATGTAAAACCAATTGGCGTGGTCATATCCACCCAGGCAGCTGACCACAATTGGCCCCCAGGCCAGTTTGCCAACCCCAAATCTGTTGCATGGGACATTGTCAACACATGGTCTGTGGATAGCAGGCAACCTACATGCTCCCCACCAGCAGCATCCTCTCCCATTTCACTGCTCTAGCCACTGCTTGATCATCAAGAGGTGGATTTTGAACCAGGTGCTGTGGCTTATGCTTGTAATCCTAGCTATTCACTAGCCAGAGATCAGGGGGATCATGGTTCAAGGCCGGCCCCATCAAAAAGTTTGTAAGATCCCCCATCTCAACCAGTGGCTGGGTGTGTTGACATGCGCCTGTCATCCCAGCAACAGTGGAAAGGGTAAAATAGGAGAAACAGTGGAAAGGGTAAAATAGGAGAATTGGCCCAGCAAAAATATCTCAAAAATAACTAAAGCAAAAAGGGTTGGAGGCTTGGCTCAAGTTGTAGAGTGCCTACCTAACACGCCCAAAGTCCTGAGTTCAAATCCGAGCACACACACAAATAAAAGAACTTTGAACTGGTTGAACTCTGTTTCTTAGACTCATTACATTAATGGAGTTATGCAAATGAACTCTCTTTAAGCCCTCATTTTCTCATTTGTAAGTGGGGAAAATGTAATCACTATCTGAAGAAGGTAATGTGAAATCTTAGCCTAGTGCGTGGTGCATGGGAAATATTTCAGGGGCAGGTCCCACAGTCCCGAGTGCAGGAGACAGGCAAGAGATGGGCATTCACATGATACTGGGGAGGCAAGGTTGTCAGCTTTAGTTCAGTAAAAGTGCAGAATGTCCCATTAAATTTGAATTTTCAGATGAAGGGTTAAATAACGTTGAGTATAAGTCAGATAGTGCATAGGATGTAGTTATACTAGAAGACTGTTGCCTTGTATTTTTCCTGACAACCCTGGCAGGTGCAAGGCCCTGAGTTCAGTCCCCAGCACTGGGAGGGAGAGGGGGAAAGAGGTGACAGTGAGGCAGAACTGGTCTTAGGGAGTCAAGGACAATAAGGAAGTTTTGAGCACAGGGGCACACTGACAGACCAAGGGAAGGGAGGAGACAGGGAGTGTGTAACCTGGAAACCTGTCCTTAAGCTGACACACAGTAACTTGAAGGCCAGTCAGATGCTTGTGGGAACCACTGGAGGGTACCTCTGCCTCAGTTAGACCGGCTCAGGAAGTGAAATGGATTGAGGGGGCAGAGTCAGGGGAAATTAAACAGGATCAATAAATAAATAAATACATAACAGTCAGTATTTCAAGTGAGATCTATGCTATATATACGTGAAGGCTGGGTGTATAGTCCACGTGGTAGAGCACCTGCCTAGCGAGTGTGAGGCTCTGAGTTCAAACCCCAGTACCACTAAAAAAAATTATTTACATGATATGGTTGAAGGACAGATAGAGTGCTGTAGGAAGGAGAGAACAGCCATGTCTGGGAGAAGTAAAGGAAGACTTCCTGGAGAAGGCGGCATTGAGGCAAGCAGTCCTGAGGGACAGTGGAACTCCCCTTGCAGACACTTTCTCTACCTTAGTCAGCTTAAGCCACTGTAACAAAATACCACAGACTGGGGGTGGGGGGGGCATGGAGAGGGCTTAAACAACAAATAGTTATTTCTCACAGTTCTGGAGGCCGCAAGTCAAAGATCAAGGTGTCAGCTGATTTGATTCCTGATGAGGGTTCTCTTCTTGGTTTACAAATGATCAGCTTCTCACGGAAGCTTCTCATGGCAAGGAAAGTTTTCATGGTGAGGACTCCACCCTCATGACCTTCTGTAAACCTAAGTACCTCCTAAAGGTACCATGCCCAGACACTGTCACACTAGGGAATAGGACTGTGACATATGAAGGGGGGTGGGGACAATTCAGTCCAGTGGGCAGATGCTATGGCTTAGTCCTGGTCTCCAGGACACCTGGAAGTTTGAATGCCATACCCGTTCTCCATAGGGAAGTCTGAGCTGGTCCTGACTAGTTAGATTTTTCTTTCTTTTTCCATCCCAAATACAGGACAGCCTTTCTCTCCATCTCCCCAGTAAAGGATCTGGGTTTTTCTCTAGCTGCAGGTGCTGGGACTCCAGTCCTGCAGTGCACACTTTGAAGCTGCCACCTCCAACACGGTCTCAGCTATGTTCCCACGCTCTCTGCCCACCCCTTGCTCTAACTACAGGTCCGCTTCTGGGATTTAGGACAGATGTTTTCAGTTGCCTCCATATTCCTTCCTGTTTTAAATACTTCTAATTGAGCTCTTTATCCCCCAGTCTCTTAATCCTAAATGCCTCTTTTTGATGTCTTTCTCAAGCTCTGTAGTCCCTGTTCTATACCCAAAACCAAAACATCCCCAAGGCCAAACTCCCAGCTAGAATCAGCACACCCTCCCTTCCTTAAGCAGCCACTAGGGCTGAAAGACTCTGGCCCAGCATCTCTGCTTAGACAGCATCAGCTGAGAGCAATGGCGAGTCTCGACCTGGGACCCCCTGGGTCTGCCTCTGACTGTCCAGCCTGTTACTTAGACCTCATCCTCCCCTCATCTGAGACAAAACCCAGGCAAGAGAACTTTCTATTTAGGCTTGTCTGGACCTTGACATTCTCCCAGTTATCAAGACATAAAAGCTTTTTCATCACTGCGAGAGACTGTGTGTGTGTTTGGAATTATGTGGAAATGCCATTTGCCCAGGAAGTGGAAAAATAGCTTTAACTCAATTATGGGAAAAATCTTAATTATACAGTAAACCAAGAACACACAAGACAATTTTCCAGAGGACAGACTGTTTAACTGCTTCCTCAAAACAGGCAGGTTCTTCTAAAGTTTGTAAAGTTGCAAAGGAAACTACCCAAGGAGACTGGCTGTGTTCCAAAGTAGTTGATTTGGAGCTTTTTCTAAAGCTAAAAATTTTAAAAGTCTGTGTTTGAAGATGGACATGAGTCCATGACATCAGTTCAGCCTCAGTTAGAAAGAAGGAGAAGGAATTTTCTTCCCTTTTGTGGGGATTTGAAGACTCAGGTTATAGTGACAGAGACCTAGCATCCTGTAATAAGAATCCATGATTGCCCCAAGGAGAAAAGGCCATGAGGAACAGTCTGCTGTCACCCAGCATTTTAATTATTTAGATGAAAGAGGGAGAAAAAGAAGGTTGTAACAGACCAGGAGAATGAAATGACTTTTTAATGAAAACCTCAAACTGTATTGAGCTGTCAGGAGAGGTGGAATTGTTCAGGGCCAACTTTCACCAGCCCTGGGAGGAGAGAAAGATGTTCACAGCTGAGAATGTGTCGTCAGTCACCCAAGGTGAACTTGAGTCATCCTTCCCAGCAGTAGCACCAGGAAGATTGAGCTATTTTTCTGGAAGCAGCTGACTGTCTTGGATAGGAATTTCCTTCACAGTCTGGACCTTAACAGCCATCCCAGTAATCTGTGGAGTGGATGTGTGCTCTGATGCAGACTAATGGCCTCCATCCCTCAGCCGCCCTCTCCACCTGCTCAAGCCTTCTCTCCCCGCCTTCCATTGAGTTCCAGCCAAAGGG